TTTTAAATTATACGTGTAAATATTTAAAAAAAAATCGTACGAAAAATTTTCTCTTTACGATTAATCTTGATTAATGTTATGCGTTAATTCCAGATCCTTCTCATTTCTAATGGAAGTATCGCCAGATCAGACAGTAATCAAGTCTTTACTTTCTACCGATTCGTATGATTCACGGTTCGGCAGCGCCATACTTGTTGGATATTATTATGCGAAGAATGGCGGAGGGTATAGAAAGAGCGAGCTTTGCGAACGAGGTTTCCGAAGCTCTCCCAGTAAACTCGGGGCTTTCCTTTCGACGAGCTTTCAGCATTGTGCCGGCTAGCACGCGGAGGTTAGCCTGCGCGCGTAAATACCATGATTGATGGGCTAGAAACAGCTCTCGAGTCTCCTCTATCCTCGTCCTCCTCTCTATCTCTCCTTCTCTCTCTCTCTCTCTTTCTCTCTCTCTCTCCCTATCTGTATTGCTTCCCTTCATTCGCCTCGCACTTCGACCTATTTGGCGTGAAGAGCGAAGTTTACAAGGAACACACAATGGAACCTGATTTTACGCGCCCACACTTTCGTCTTTGGTCACTTAACACATCATTTGCCTTGGCTATTGTTCAACCGTTCGACACCGTCTTACGGCTGCTTATCAAGAAAGGTATCGAGAAAGCTATTTCTCTTCTGTTGCGAATGAGAGACGCGTGAAATTCTCGAGAGGAAGTCCGTTGAACGAGATTATATCGGATGTTCCTTACATCGTGATTCATCGTCGAGTTCGAGAGATTCTTTCTTCCCCTTTGGAATCATTCCCCTCGAAATTCACGATCGAATTTCGTCGAATTATTTCCCGGATGTTGGCGAATTTGACGCGTTTCTTAGTATTCGATCGGAAGTGCTCGTAATCGGGACTCGATTCAAGGAATATTTATTTCCGATTGGATGGAGGATGAAGTTAAATGGGAAGAATGTATGTTTAAGCGATGGATATGCTTACGCTGGAGCATAATGCGGATACTCGAATGGAATTGATTCGAGCAGATTTTAGTTTAGTAGAGGAGGAACGTTGCTGTGAACAATGAAGTATCGATTCGCCCCAATGGAATAAATCTATCAAATTCCTTTGAACGTTAAAGCACCTTCATCCACGTTATATCCTATATAATTTTCAGGTCATTTGATGTTCAATGATATTCAAACTGGTGGATCGGTTAACGAGGATTAAGTGATTCATTTCGTTTCCTAGAAAATCTAAAATTTGTCCAACAGATTAAAATTTTAACGTGTAGAGAAAATTTCGTTAAACTTTCACGAAAATACGAAGCTTGTTGAAATTATTTTATTCGCTGTTTTTCTGAAATTTAAAAAGAGGGATTAATTGAAATATAAATAACAACGTTGAAATTTTATTCAAGTATTGACAAATCCTGTTCAAAAGTTTCGAAAGCAATCATATTTTTCCAGACAGAATATTCAAAATTTGTTTAAATTCAATTAAAAATAAGATAATGAATATTTTTGATAAAGCAAAAATTTAATTTTAACTTATGCAATTATTTTGTCTTTCTATCGATACATTTTTCTATCATCATATTTTAGATATTTTTATTCAGAGATTCTTTACTGCTTTCAAACTTTTGAATAATAATGTCCATATTTTTTATTGTTCCACAACGATTTAACAAAATTAAATCATAAACTGAAAATTTGAAAGGCAAACACTTAGGCAAATTGCAGATGGCCGTAAATCATTATGCCAGTAAATGCGCCAGTGAATGCATCGAATTAGGGTGAACCGAAATCAAACCGAATCAAAGCCAAATCAAATCGTTAAAGGGCATTCGTAACAATGTGTACAGTTAATGAGCCAAATGATGATAACGATGACGCTTCGCACATCGAGCAAGTATTCCTTTTTATTTTCTTTTCATTTCGTAAAAATTCACCAATCATAATAATAATAATAATAATTAAACGATTTAACGTTCAAACAAAATTTCCAATCAAACATATCACAATCAAGATTAAAAAAACACTTTACAATATTATTTTGCAATATAATTTTGATTAATTAAACTTAATTAAATGCTCACTAACTTGATCTTACCTAGCAGGCAATTTAGCCAACAGATCTGGCAGGAGACGCACTGTGAGAGAGATCTGTTATCGGACAGGAGAGTTTAGCGGTTTCCTTGATCCCAGCGTGGATGTCTCTGACACGTATATCTTCACCCGTGCACATCCGTATCTGTCCTGACCTTCAACCCTGATGTGTGATCCCCAGGTTAGATCGTGTCCCTATCTTTCCATTCTGATTAAACGATTCAACTCGTCTTCTTTGCCTTCCAAGTCCTCGATAATTTTTTATTTCTTCTTCGATATATCACATCCATTCGGTGTTTTAACCCGTTCACCCTTTGATTTTCATCTTTTTCCATAAACTGTAAAATTAAAATCTTCAATCGTTTCGATAAATTTATATTTTCTTTAATAAAATAAAATGCATTGTACATCGTTAATTATATGCATTTCGGGAGAACTGATTCGTTAAATTATGTGAATAATTTCACTTTTATATTTCATTACGCGTATATTTTATTTAGATCGATTTAAAAAAAAGATCGAACAAAAATTTTTCCTCCCCTGTTTCGATTTATATTTATTTCCCAAGCAATTCTCCATTACATGTTACATGTTCTATAAATCAACCAACATCTTTTATCACCTTACACATTTCGTAATGAGTTTTTACATGCGATCGAGGACGACGATAATACACGGATTTCTATTGCTTCCTCAGGATTGATCGATCGTTCTTCACAGAACGAGAACGAGTTCCACCATCTGTCGAGTATTTCTCGAGCTCCGCAGTTTTGCTCCTACGTGGATCGTTTCCTTGAATTTCATCTGTTACGCCTGGAATATCGAACAGGTTATTAAAAGTATGCGAAGCATTATAAAATTCGCAGAAGCAAAATGTCCCTTGCTTTTTGGATAAAATTTTTATCAAAGATATCGCTTCTCGTATTTCTTTCAAGTAAATTCTTCAAATTAATCTTCATTCTCTCTCATTTTCGATGATAAATTTAAAAATCAAATATTCTACGAATTTTGTTAACGTTGTGGTAAATAAGAGGTATTTGAAAACTTTATGAGAAAGCAAATTTCTTTCGAAGACTTATCGAGGATTTTTCCATCCACCGAGTGAAGATTATAAATTATGGTCGAATCATGTTTACTTTATCGTCCAGCACGATTAATTATTTCCTGACGATTAATTACTCTCAACATTTCTCGGCAATTAATTATCATTAGACATCTCCCGTTTGCCGTTGTAATATTACGAAGCTTGAAGCTTGCAATTTTTATCTTCGCTTGTGTTTCACACACATTATTAAGTGCATGTTCATTTCAACGATATCTTCGAGATAAATTCATCTTTACGAAAAATAAAAATAAAATATCAATGATTTTTCGATACACCAGTGTAGATTTGACCCAGTTTTAAAAATTCGGTGCAATTTTTTATGGAATATATCTGGAACGAGAACAGAACAGAATAAAATGAATTATTTTTACCAATCGAAAGTGGAAGTATCGATCGTATACGACGATTAAATTGATTAATTTTCCAAGAGATTGCAATGCGCCATTATTCGAATTTGCAACGACGTTCGTTTACGATATAGGTATGAAAATGAAAGTATCATACGGAAGGTAATATCGCTACGATGGTACAGCATTAATCGGTTAGAATTTCTGCGAGGCTCGTGCAGCAATGTATTAACAATTTAACGAGCCGACACCTGCGATAGCTATTATAACACAATTATATACAACGCTTCGCGCTGAGGTGTGTATTGCGAATTCGTGCGCCAGACTGTATCCGTACGATAGAATGCAAAGTGAATTGCTTGAGCTCATAGGTCTCGACATAAATTTTCTCGTTATTCCCTTTCTTGGCAAAGATTATCGAATATCTATATGCATAGATAGGTTGTAATGGCGCGTAATAATAATTCATTGGGATTTGTCATGAATACTCATATTATGAGATATAAAATTTGATGTTGGGTATTGATTTTTTTTTTTAGAGAACGTTATACTTTTATTGTTTTCGTGATAAAAGGAAGATATTTCTCGATGAAATTTTGAGGCTATACTCATATACTACGATAATAAGTAGATATAAAATAGAATTTGTTAATATTTTTCGTGCAAATATGTTTGTCACGAATATAAATCATAAATGAAAAATCCGGGAGCGAGTTAAAATATCTGCCTCCACGTTGCGAATCTTCCTAGTCGATGTGAATGTTGTATAATTAAATTTTTACTGCACGTAGCATGTAATAGGTATGAAGAATAAAAGAACGAAGGAAATTTAAATTAAGTTTGTTAAATATTGCAGAATATTGCTCCTACAATTTATAATTTACGTATAGTATATGTAATAATTATTATATTGCGATGTCATACTTTCAAGACTTGTTTTAATTATTAAATAATTAATAATTTAATGCTTTTAATATATTTTGATATAATCATTTTAAGCATTTTAATGGTTTAATCAGTTTAACATTAGCTTTAGATTATTCAGGTATATATTAATTAAATGTAAAACAATATTAGAGCGCTTTCAAATTACACGATTATTTTGTAATAGTTAAGAAAATGTAATAATTATTTTATCATAAAAGTTTAATTATTTGGAAATTTTTGTTGCGAAATTTAATTAATATTATTATAAATATTATTTAATTTACTACTTTTTAAAAATTCTTTATTCATTATTATGATCTTTGATACATTAAAATTTATTAAATGCTTGGAAGTTCATGTCATAATATATTAAACACAATAAATTTACAGAATGTTAATAAATGTTTTAAATGTTTTGTTCATATTCCGCGGTTTAATTCGCAGTAATTTTTAGGATGGCATTACTGCTCCCTATCGGTGGCGCGCAAAAATAATATGAAACGACATTTTATATCTTTCGATTGACGCCATTACGCTTCGCGCCAGATGCAATCGACGAACAGTGTATCAAGCTCTGTGATTTTTCGTGTTACATAAGTGGTTTGTGTAATTTCCATCGCCACATGTTCTTAAAAGTGTTCACACAAGATCCAATCATCGAAATATTCAAGGTATTTAATAATTCTAATCCTTTATATATCATTTGAAGTAAAAATTCGTTGCGTGTATAACCACGGTATGTCCAGAATGCTTTTCACATATATACGACTTCATTTTGTCTATAAAATTATGTTTAACGCTTCAATTTTTATTCAATTTTTATTAAAATAACTCATTATTATCAAATATTTCAATTCTATAATCTTAATTAGAAATATCATAAAGTTTCGTAAAGATATCGAAACGATCGAAGTATTCGAAACAATCGAAATATTCGATGTATAATTATGACACGTAATTGACATGATATTTAATTTTTTGAATAATTATGAATAATCATAGAAGGCAATTAGTCGTAAACATCGTATATCTGAAAAAACATTCTGATTTTATACGCGTTTATTGCGCGAAATTAGTTGCGAAAACTTCGGGCAGGTTCGTTTCGTCTTTGCGGCGTTCGGATAAGTTCGGTGGCACGCACGCTTTAGATGGTGGCGCGCACGTTACGAAGGGCAGTTCGCCTCCGGCCGTCGTGGAGTATGAACATTTAACATATTTTTCGAGTAACGCGAGCCTTTATTACAGCTGTGTTATATTTTCGTGAAAGTTTAGTGTATAAATGTGTTATTGATTATTATTTTTTTTACAGTATCATTTATACGCTGTTCAACGTGACAATTCGTGACGAATAGTGATCGAATAGTGGAATCATCAGTACAGTCGACGTGTGTCTGGATTTTTACGAATCGTTTGGAGTATAGGTATGTACCATAGATAATTAAATGTTTTTAATTAGTTAAAAAAGCTAAATTATAATACAATATTGTTAAATGGTAGTCTTTATTAATAATATGGATAGAATTTAGAATTATTTTTTATTTATTCATTATTTATATCATTAATAGTGCATGTATTTCGAATTAAAGAGGTTATAATAATTAGATTTCAAAATTAAATAATGAAAATTTGGTTATATTTGAATATTGGTTTGAATAACTTGTAAAATATGCATTGTTAATGCATAGTTTGTTACATTTATTTGAGTTAATGAATTCAATATTTTTTTTCTATCAAAATTAGAAACATAATTTTTATTATTGTGATTCTAAATTTGGCAGAAACCAATATTGAATTTTTTCTTTGTATCGAAATTTTTATAATATGCGTAAATGTAACACGAGCGTTGATTTAACAAAATTATATTATTATATATTTAATAATGATGAAACGCAATACTCTTCTTCGTGATTTTCTTCGTGTACGATACGATAACATTTTCATTCAAAGACCTAAACATAAACATAAAAACCTATTCGGTGGCTATAGCAAAAACGGTGTAGATAAACATTCTAATTCTTGGAAGTCGATTAGAATTGTATTTAGTTTTTGTTTATTACTCATATCGCAATACGAAGGTAATATTTTTCTTTTCTGAAGAAAATTATATCTTTCCTTTTCATTTTCATTTTTAATAGAGTACGATTATTTAACTTTTACAATTAGATTTACAATCAATTGGAAATATTAATTAATTTGCAATTATTTGTTTCCTTTTTCAATCTAATTCTATTTAAAATTAAATTACAAATTACATAAATTAAAATTTAGAAAAGTAATAATCTTTGTATAAAATCTTTTCTATAAAATTAATCGTCCACGAAATTTGACAGATACTTAATTATCCTATGATTAATAGAACTTACAGAATGATCAAATTATTCATCTACAATTAATAATTCCGTTAACGTATCTGTATCTTCATTCATCTTATCCAATTCATATTTAATTCCCCGAATATTATTAATTGGGCAAGAAATTAGATATATTTTCAAACGCGATCGTCAAATTCGTTAAATTATTTTAAATAAAATTCTGTAAAATTCTATCGAAAATTAATTATCGGATAACGAGGAACTTCCGATTTCGTGAATTCTGAGGTAATAAATATTATAAGATTTAGATAAATCGTAAAAATTCGCGGTAGGTGAACTATTATCTCTGTCTAGATGATTCACAGAGCGGAGAAATAAACGGCTCGATATTCCCTTGTGTATTCGCGAGTCGTGGTACGCCACATTTTCCCCACAAATTGTTTACGTCTTTTATTTCCGGAAAGTGAGCTACGCTGTTACTGTTCATACTGTCACGATCCTGTCAGTACACTCGTAGAGAATTGATAAATGATAGCGTTGGAATAATTGATAACGTGATAACGTGAAAATCTTACGTCTTGGGGAAATTTTAATTGAATAATTTTGAATTTTAATTCTGATTAGTTAGATAAACGAGATGTTTCGAAATTATGTTTGTTGAGAAATTTGGATCAATGAAACGCGGATAAAGGCAAACGAGATAGTACATTATTTTAATGAACGTTAATTAATTATCTTTATTTTAGATATTTTGGAAATTTTAATAGTTAAAGGAAGAAGAAAATGTTTTTTCAAAGGATTTCTTTTGAAAAAATATTTTTATGTATTATTATTCGTTTTGATTATTCTTCAAGCTCACTTTCATTTGTGTTATAATATTTTATGTAAAATTTAAAAGCGTCTATGATTTTTTTTTTTTTATGTTAATGAACGTTTCGATTGTCGTTGGTTGCAAAAAAAAAAATACCTAGAATATTGTGACTTGAAAAAGCTTTTGAAAACTGGGTTGCGTTTAAACCTCTTTTAGAATTCAGCGAATCGTCAGGACAAAGCTATTCGTTTCCACCGCGTTATTTATTATAGCTTTTTCAAAAAAAAAAAAAAAAAAAAAAAAAAAAAAAAAAAAAAAATAAAAAAAACAGTTGGAGGCTTAAAAATTGTATTTACGATGAAAAATATATTTATAGTTCGTTTTAAATAAATTATTAAAAAAAAATTATCTTTATTTTTATTCATAGAATTTTTCCAAAATTTTTCTTCTTTTAGTAACAAATGCTAAGATTTCAGGGAATTATAAATTTTCATTGTACTAAAAATTTCATTTTTAACAATTAAATGTTAACATAATAAATATTTTTCTCAGAAGCAAATTTTCAAAAATATATTCAAAAAATTTTGATAAATGCCAATAGTCAGAGAACGATAATTTCTAATCTTTTAGATTAAAAATTTCGTTTATAACAATTTAATTATAATTATAAAATAGATTCAAGGTTAAAAATGAAAAAGAATTAAATTATTTCGACAAATTTTTATATTCACAAAATTTTTTCATTCCATTAATATTGATAAATATAAAACATTTATCAATGGAAATCAACTTTTTATTAAAAAAATTTTATTCATTTCCCTTCAATTCGTTTAATTAAATATTTTTAATTGTACATTTAAATCGAACTATCCTAAACAAACTTGGCACGATGAGATCGACGAGTTTTAACAGAAATAATTATAAGGAGGTACGTATTAATTTATTTAAACCGGTATCTACGGAAATCGAGGAATTTAAAAGAAACGGGGAAACGAATAGAAGAATGCTGGTCGTTTATTCGAAATTGTTCCGTGGATTTCCCGCCGCGTAGCTTAACTATCAGGAGGAGACGTGCAACCGACTCCCTTGGGAAATTACGAATTACATGTTTTTCAATTAAATATACCGAGACTCGTCCACTGGGAAATACGTTGTACGCCGAAGGGGGTGACGAAAAATCAGCCGCGAGATTCGTGTTTACTCGTTGATCGAGAATTTCATAGTAATTTTATTAAATTTTATTAAATTCGATATCGATATCGAAAGGGAAAGCAGTTTATTTTTAATTACGTACATTGAATTTAATATATATTTTATTAATTTAGATTTTTTGAGAATAAAAATAATTAGTTTTGTGAAATAAATTATGGAAATTATATAGGCGTTGATCGAATTACAGCTTGTTTGTAGGATTCTTAAAAAAGATTATATATATTTTCAATA